GATTGACAACACCTGGCGGCTATCAGCCTGATGAGCCTCTCCATCTATAAAAGGCTGCAGCCCAGTGTGACTCATCGCTGGAGCATATCACCTCTCATGGTATAGTACTGCTGTGCTAGATATTTCTTGGTGAAAATAATTTGTTCACCTGTGTTCTCTTTTCCAGTTTCCCGATCCCTCGTGTTTTTGACCTCCTCGTGACCTGTTCTGGATCCCTCAGCCTGTCAGGTGTTCCTCGTGCCATTTTTGCCGCCAGCCTTCCTCGTTCCCTTGGACCCTCGTTTGGATTTCCTTCTCTGCTCATTCTTAGGACTCGAGGACCAGCTCCCCACCTTCGGATTTGGACTGTAAGAACAAAAACGCTCTTCAAACAAACAACTCAGATCTTCCCCTCTGGACAAGCAATTAACCTGTCGCCCCTCTTTCCAGGAGTTGCAGAGAAGCAGCGTGTGGATTTATTCACTGTATATAAATAAACACTGTTCTTTTGTATTCCCCTGTGTCTGCCTCGTTCTGGGTCTCATATCATCTGGGTTCCTCGCGCAATCTTAACAATCTTCCTGGTTTCATTAAAAAAATGTTATTGATGCTGATGGCTGTGGGCAGGAAGGATCTCTTGTAGCAGTCTGTCTTACAGCAGATCTGAAGAAGCCTATAACTAAAGACACTGTTGTTGTATGACAGTCTGATGAAGAGGGTGCTGAGGGTTGTCTATAATGTTCTTCGTTTTACGAAGAATCCTTCTTTGTACAATCACCTCCACAGTTTGTAGAGGAGTCCCCAGAACTGAGCCCGCCTTCTTTATGAGCTTGTTGATATTTTTTAAGTCACTTGCTCTGGTGCTGCTACCCCAGCAGATGATGGCAGAAGAGATAGCGCTGTCTCCAACAGACTTATAGAAGATATGGCGCATCTTTCTGCAAACATTGAAGGACTTAAGCTTCCTCAAGAAGTACAGTCTGCTCTGTCCCTTCTTGTAGACGGCTTCACTGTTGCATTTCCAATCCAGTCTGTTGTCCAGGTGTCCCCCGCCTCTTGCACAGTGACTGCTGTATATGAGCACCAGTGACCCCTGCGACTGGAAAAGGAAGAAGTGGGTAAAGATAATGGTTGGATGAATGGATGGATGAATGGATAGATGGATGGTAATCAAAGGGCTGCATGGATAATTGGGAGAAAAAATCTTTAAGACATAATCTGTCAATTTTTTTTTCTTCAGGTTTTCAGGAGTATAAAGCCCTATTCACACGGAATTAGTTTTACCTAGGGACCACATGTAATAAATAAATTACTCCCCAGCATCTGCCTTTTATGTGGCGCATTCGCACGGGATAACCAAAGCCTGAGATTTAGCTGAAATTTACGGACATCTTCCGGATATGACGTTAACGTGCTGCGTATTTTAGAGCTGTCAACCCGGAACCTGACCCGAATTCAGACTGGGCCGATCCATAATAATGTACTTAATGTGCGGGCCAGGCCGGTCTTGGGCTTTGATGCGGTTTTAGGAATCATAGAGCACAAAGAAAACCAAATAAGGATGCACAATATAAAATTGTGTTAATCTACTTGTTGAGGAGGAGGCAGGTCCGACAGGCTGATTGAAAGAGGTAAAAAAAAAGCCACATTAAGCTCAGATGGACAGCCTGTCACCGGTCGCGCGCATCCGCTGACCCGCCAGTTGAAATGGTCTTGCAACCTGTCCAGGGTGTACCCCACCTCTCGCACAGTGATGGCTGGACATGAGCAACAGCGACCCCTGCTACCTGAAAAAGGAGAAGCGGGTAAATAAAATGGAATGATGGATGGATAAATGGATGGATGGATCAGCTGATCACCAGCTGTGCACGTCTCCGCACCTGCTGTCATTTGTGGTGAAGGAAGTAGCAGTATCTACAAAAGCCGAAGCAAGCAGCGCGTTCATTTAAAATAGCCTTGTTCTATCTAAAAAAGTTAAATCTGGTCCTCTGGACATTCAAAACAACCCAAAACAAAGCAAAACAAAAAAT